GCCGATGCCTGCGTAACCCTCATGGCTGGCATCTGTGAGCCTCTACGGCTGAGACGTAAGGATGGGTGAACGGGCCGCACGGAGGTGCAGGACCTGGGCTGTAATTTCCCCGTAAACGGCAAGGTTTTCAGTCAGCAAGAGACAGTAACCCCGAGGGACTCCCTTAAATGACCCATTGCCTCTGCCCTTCAGAACGGCCAGCGCCCGCCACAGGGCAGCTGCCCCCGCCCAGAACTGTGCTCCTAAGACTTCCACGCCGCAAACCAGGTCCGTGGGGAGAGGACACAGGCCACGGAGATACTTGCCGCTGAGCAGAGGCTTGTTGAGGGTGTAGAGGGGGGGCAGGTCTTCTATGTTGGAGATGCGCTGGTACATGGCCCTGGAGAGGTGGTCCCCATGGTACAGGCTGCCCAGGATGATGCTGGACAAGTAGATCGGCTCCACGAAGACGCTGAGCAAGGAGCCCTGGACGCCCACCACGTTCCACCTGGGGGCACAGGGACAGGAGCTCAGTGCGGGCGGCCTCGGGCTCACCACCCCACCGCGCTGACACCGACGTGCTGGGCGTTTTGTGCACGTGCCAGCCATTCAAAGAGGAAACAGGTGACTCAGCAGCTAAACATTTTAAAAAGAAAAACCTGCTTAAAAGTCATCTAGCGCTGGAACGATCTTTGGTCTGTGTTTCTCATGACGACACCATTTACTGAAGATCAGTTAGGAAAAGGTGTCAATAAGCCACGTTTCTCTTAAGAAAAATCAAACGGAGAAGTAAATCTCTATTTTATTACGTTAATAAAGATGGGAGCTCTAAGGGAGCCCCTGTGGATGGGAACTGATGCTTCCTGCTCCGAGAGGGGGTCAGCCCGCGCTCTGGCTCAAGCCAAATGGCTGGGACCACGGCCGCCTCCCCATCCCTGTCGCAGGCCAGCGGCCAGCAAGCCTCGGGACTTCCTCTCAGAACAGATCAGGGGCTGCTGGTGCCACTGCCTCTGCTGATCCCGGGTCAGGTCACCTCCCGCCCACTTCGCCGCCCCTCCCAAGGGCAATCCGGTGACCACAGCCCCCGCCCCCAGGGCCCAGCCCAGGCAGGACAGGCCACTCTGAGTGCGAAACCTCCCAACACTCCCCATCTTCCTCCCAAGCGACACATCCCAGTCCCCGCCAGCCTGTCTGACCTGGCATTCCCCGGCTCCCTGCCTCCTGCCACCGCCCCTCCCCCAGGCTCCGGCCGCGGGGCTCCTTCTGCTCCCTCAGGACCTTGACCACCATCCCTTCACCCTGGAACACAGTCCCCAGACAGTCCCTGGCCTCAGCGCCCCCATCTCCGTCTGCAGCCATCACCTGAGCCAAACTGGCCCCCACATCGGTCGGCTAACTTCCCGCAAAACTTCCCCCCAAACCCGCCCAAGTACAGAAGCTCCACACAGGAGGGTCTCTGTTTAATTCACTGGAGCCGCACACTTGGTACACGCAGAGCAGCAAATACATGCTGAACGGGCGGTAAGTCCTGACTCCGACAGCCCGGGCCTCCCGCTCCCCAACAAGGACATCAAAACCTGGTTTTCCTGCCCAGTGAGAAAGCAGGAGACAACTCAGCGCTTGCAAAGTACACGGGTCGCTTTCTCAAGTAAGTCAGGAGCTGAGAGCAGCCGCCCGGGGAACCTTCAGAGCCGTGATCTGACAGAAGCCTGTGTTGCTACAAGCCATAGATGCCGAACACAGGCCTCGTCGGAGGAGCCAGGAGCCGGGCCGCTCTGCGGAGGCCCTGGGATGGAACCGCTAGGGCACGCCTCCCGCCAGCGAGCCCTGCGACGGTGAGGGCGAGACTCCCCCGGGAGAAAGACCCAGCAGGGCTGGGCAGTGATGGCGACAGGGCGTGCTCAGGCAGCCACTGCCCCCAGGCAAAGCTGGAAGCCGGCACAGGGGGTGCTGCGCCCCTGCCCGGCCGACCCCACGACCCCGTGACCCGCGAGTGGCCTCCTGCTCTCCCCTTCCTTACACGTTACCTCTGGAGCACGGGGTTCAGAGCAGGTCCTGCTGCCTCACCCCCATCCGGCTTCCCTGCACTGACCCCAGCCTACCCCCAGCACAGTGGAAGCCCCTTTCCCCCTGCAGCTCTGAACAGCCAAGCTGCAGCCCTGGGGGTGGGGGTGCACCCAGAGCCTGGAGGCTGGGACCCTCCCTCTCATGGCCCAGCAGAGCTGGTGGGTCCCTGCAGGCCCCTCCCATCGCTGCGCCCCATGCAGCTCCCGTGCCACATCTCAGCCACGCTGCCCGCTGGATGGACAGACGGCACCTCCCTTCTCACCTGAGCCCACGGCCGGCCCCTGTGAGACACAGGTCAGCTGGCCTGGCACCTGCCCACCGACCTTCCCTGGGGACTCTACACGCCCTCTCGGCAGGGACCGGGCGCGGCGGGGGCGCCCTGCAGCCAGGGGTGGTGTGGCGTTGAATGACAGGCTTCTTTCAGCCGACTCAGAGTTTATGCAAATGAGGAGGGAGAGGCTGGTCTCCAGGGAAACCAGCCGCAGATCGCAGGCTGGGACTCAGCCCCGCCCCCACCCTTCCATGGAGGGGAGGGGGCTGGGTTGAGTT